CATATGCATACAAGTATACCTAACCACCGCTTGAACAGGGACGTCAGTGTGCAAACCGTTAATTAGACCAAAAAATGAATAGTTAGGTGGAGTTGAAAGAAAAAGGATTTGAATACATAATAATATATACTAAATATTAGACAAAAATTTATTGCACAGACATTTTACCTCTAAACCCAGAAATACATGTATTTGAAAATGAAAATCATTCTAGATCTGAGGCCGTGGAACTCCCACTGTCATCAAGATTTATGATTGAAGGAGCAACGTGAATATCAATTCCCACATTTTAGGTTCGACCTTTTCTTTTACATGCTGATACATTTTTCCACTTATTCGGTGTTATTGTTTGTATAGCATCATGAAAAAATTTTTAAGGTCAGAAAATTTAAAACATTTATTTTCTGCTGCAACATATTTTTTCATGTCTGCCCAAATGAGCTCAATCGAATTGAGCTCACAATGGTACGGAGGCAGCCGTAAAACAGTTTTATTTTGTTTTTTGTCCATTTCATTAATTATGTTCAGGTTATATGTATTTTTATGCGTCTTGACAATTTGTAACAATTCTGCTGATTCTGTTGTATCATCATAATCAATCGTTTTATTTTTAAGCCATTCTAGAATTTCGTATTTTTTGTCACTGCCACTTTTTTTTTTCGAAACGCACAATTGACGTATCTTTGGAGATAGTTTGTCTAAGTTATGTATTATACGTTTGTTGTCGTTACTACTACCATTTTTTTTAAAGTCAAGTCAATAGTTTCTTGTTTTCATTTTCGAGTGTTTGAGAGTTTCTTTATTTTCGCGAAAACAATGCACTCTAGAAAAAACAAAAGAGTAATTATTTGTAGCAAATTGAAGGTAAAATTCGAAAAATTTCACTATAAAAAACAGTGGCGCACAAATAATTACTCTTGTGTTTTTCCTAGAGTGCATTGTTTTCGTAAAAATAAAAAAAACAAAAAAAACAAACCCCTACACGAAAATAATGTCGGCGTACTCATCATTGCTAAAAGCCATCTTAAAATACTCAAAAATAGGAAACGGAAACTATCTCCAAAGAAACGTCAAGTCAGTTGTGCGTTTCAAAAAAAAAAAATAACAGTGGCGTACTATTTTTATTTAAAAAAATAATGCCACTAATCCTCTGTATCTCCGCAACTAGTGCACTTTAATTATAATTAAAGGCCTTTGAATGTGGACAATACTTACGTAAATCCACTTAAAAAATTTTTGTTCATTCCTGTTGACGGTTTTGAAGGTATTAAAAAAGATTCTTTTTATTTTTGAACTTTAAGACCCCATACCTTTTTAAAGGAATGTTATACTATAGAAGCCCCCCATTAAAATGCGGTCCTGTGTATGATGTTTCATTTTTGGTCACGACTTGTGAATCACCCTGTATAGTGAGATCGTGAGACCCCGGTACCTCTGTGGATCGTTTCCACGCGTTATTTCTGAAATTTGTCCCCCAATTTTGACTTCACGTTAGTGTTCAGCGTGGAAAAATCCATGGGAAAATATGGACCCCAAACACACACCATTTTTTTTGAGGGCCTGTATTATTAGTATGGCATTCTTAGTTATTAAAAAAATTCTTGTTCAACACTATCGCCTCCTGATTGTAACAGTTTTTAAGGGCGTGCAAAAGAGAGGAATAAAACTAGTAGCAATATTTTCGTAAAGAGCACCGACTGTATTTCATCATAAAACATAGAGAAATATAACAGACACAGTTGAGATTAGTTCGCATAAGATCTCCTCGCCTAGTATGAGTCATATGTCACTTAGCGCCTTAAAAACCTATTTACATTTTACGCCGTACACAGTGTACTTTTGTAAAAAGTATGCTATTTTCCCGTCTAAAATGCCGGTTTTCAATCGCTAGTTAACTCCTTTAAGTTAAGCAACTATGACTTGTATGTCAACTATCAGTTGCCTCTGAATTCGTTTTCAAGTTGTAGTTAACAATCAATAAACCGTAGATGCGGCAACGCTGCTTTTATGCATGACGTATCGTGCTCTATGCGTTTCGTGATGTTCGGTATTTGTGTCCCGTGACAAATTGTCACTGTCAACATGTCAAAACACATTAGGTTAGACATCGCAGTTTGAATACTACTTTGTTATTCCATACATGCTCCAACTACTGTTTGAGTACAAGCTTAACACTGAGAGTTTACTTTCGGTTGACAGTCAAGTTGGAGTTAACTTGTAATTGTAAAACCGGGCCTAAGTAGTAAAACTATAGCCTTAATGGTAAAGTGAAGGTTGTAGTGCGTTTTAAGTATAGTTACAATTATATTCGGTTAATTGCTTAAACTAAGAATATACTGATGGAATGCTATTCTATGTCTTTTAAGTATTTATACTCACAGTTTACTGGTCTCACGGTTGTACTGATAATCAAAAATTTATTCTTTTGCAATTACATTCAACCAAAATTTAACAGAAAAAATATAAGTTTTGCTTCTTTCGCATCCACGCATTTCAGGTGTTCGATTTTTAACGCAATGATAGATTAAAGTTAAAGTAACAACTTCTAAAAAAAATTATTTAGAACAGTGGTTCCCAAACTTATTTCTCATGAATCACTCGAAAAATTTTTCTGGTTTCGGTGAATCCCCTTCTTCTGCTCGGTTCCTAGTTTATTCCAAAAGCTTGTCAAGAAATGTGAAGATTATCTATCGTTGCAAATTTTACGTAAAACTAAAAAGATTTTTTTTTCTTATATTTATCAGAATAACATGATTACAAATTTAATAGATATCAGTAACGTAAAACGTAGTTTCTTTCGCAATATAAATCAATACAATAATGATTCAGAATTGTAATGGTGCTTGATAGATTGACAGTAAAATATCAATCAATATATGACTTCAGTTTTGTAAAAAATAATAGCAAATCTCCCGGGTCTACAATATTCATTCTGTTCGTTTTTTCTTTTAATTTGCAATAACACTAATATTGAGCAGTAAGACGCTATCAAAATTTGTTAACGAAATTGCATTGCTATGGATTTCAAGGTTCAGTATTCAACTTATTACAAAAGTATTTAATCAATAGAAGTCAAGGAACTAAAATTTGCAATTAATTATCAAACATTAAAAACATTTCCGTAGATGTGCCACAGGGTAGCAAATTAGGTCCATTACTATTTATTTTATATATTAACGATATTCCTGATATTTTATAACACGGCAAAATTCAACTACAGGTATTTCCTGATGATACATTAATATATATATAGGTGAAAAAATTAAAGCTTCCGCCTTTTGTTGGGTACTTCGACAAAATTTAAGCAAAGAGGACTCTTTATACTTTTTTAATTCTCTCTAGCTTTCAATGGACTGTGCCATCATCATCAGGAGCTGCAATTACAATGATAACAGTAGCAACAAAAGTGTAAAATGAATTTAAATTGACTCAACTTACAGTAGTATGTGAGGATGTTGCTAATTGTTGTTTACGTATAGGATGAGGGAAACGTCCAGTAACATGGTGAGAGCTGGATAGATGGTACAATGGTCAAAATTATATAAAATATGACAAGAACAAGTTAAAAACAGATTAAAAATTATTTAAAAACATTAGAGCATTACATCGTGAAGCCACTTGATGATTGCACAAAATGGTGGTCATGGAATAATGAGTGAGATGAACCCTTTGACAGAAGGCCGAAGGTTGTCAATGTCTGTGTTGAAAGATGGAACGAATTGTGGGCGTGTGCCAAACGTTGCCAAATCACTTCAGATGATGTGATTTTCAGAATGTTATGTAAGAAATTGTTAAACCGACCAGAGGCAGTTGAATAAACTATATTTTAATTAATGGGAACTTTAAATTAACAATTATTAATAAATCGTGAGAAGAGAATTATTTTTTTAAATAATTTTTAATCTGTTTTTAACTTGTCTTGTCATATTTTATATAATTTTGAGCATTGTACCATGTAACCAGCTCTCACCATGTTACTGGACGTTTCCCTCATCCTATACGTAAACAACAATTAGCAACATCCTCACATACTACTGTAAGTTGAGTCAATTTAAATTCATTTTACACTTTTGTTGCTACTGTTATCATTGTAATTGCAGCTTCTGATGATGATGGCAAAGTCCATTGAAAGCTAGAGAGAATTAAAAAAGTATAAAGAGTCCTCTTTGCTTAAATTTTGTCGAAGTACCCAACAAAAGGCGGAAGCTTTAATTTTTCACCTAACTGGTCTAGACGACAATGACCACGTCTCAAGTTATATATATATATGTATATATATATATATATATATCAAATAAAGACATTGAAAATGCAATAGAGCTGTTAAATAATGATATGAAAAACGTAATAAATTGGTTAAATGTAAATAAACTTAAGCTGAACTCAAACAAAACAAAATATATGCTAATAGGAAAATACGATAAATCTTACAATTAATCATAAAAAAATTGTGTCAATCGAATCAATTAAATATTTGGGCATATACGTAGACAGTAAATTAGAATTTGATGGGAACTACAAATATATTCAAAAATATCCAAGAAAATAAATTACTTTTATAGAATTTTGCATAGCCTAAGCGTTTATTCTAAAAAATTGTGTACAACACTATCATTCTTCCTCATTTGTTATATTGTTCGACTATTTTGTTCACTGCAAATGAGATTGAATTTTCAAAATTACAAAATAAAGCTATGAGAATCATCTTAAATAAAAATAAATATACTAGAATAAATTTTATGCTGAAATAACTTCAATGGTTAAATATCAAAAATTTCATAGCCTACTTGGTTTTCATTTTCATATTCAAGTTAAAAAATCATCTTCCACCAAATCACTTGGAAAATTTTATTGTATTGAACAATGAGTGCCACAATTATTTTACTAGAGGAAGTATAGACTTTCATTTACAAAACTGCAGTAGCAATATGACGAGCAAGTCAGTATTTCAAAAGGGAATGTACGAATTTAATAAATTAAGTAGTGATATCAAGATGTGTGTCAGGTTGAAAATGTTCAAAGGGAAATTGAAAAAATATCTCATGTAAAACCAGAATTCAAAGTAGTAAAACTTTGTATAAAAATATATAGTCTTGAAGACATAATATATTTTGTGATATACTGTGTAATATGGATATTATAGATATTGTAGCGTTAATGCTAAATAAATCTCAAACCAACAAACAAACGTCATCTGTAATAACTATGATGTTTTTGATTCCTTCCCTTAGACCATATACATTAAACACTGTTTTTGTAACTGAAGTAGATCTGAAATGGTGAAAGCTCTAGAATGCAAAAATTTAACTATGGCTTTGTGTCCACAAATGTCAAGTCATTTGTGTCACATATCACTCATGATTGATAATACTGAGATGTATTAACAAATTAAAACATTCTTTGATCATACCTTTACATATACAAAAAACTGCTTTAAAATCAGTCAGATCCACCAATCCTCACGGAAATCGTACGTCATAGTCTCTACTTGTATCCCTGTTAAATCTTTTAGGTAAGAAAATATAACTATATTAATCTTACTCCGAAATAGTCGGTTTTCTTGTCCAACCAGTGGATCATGAAAGTATGAATAAAAAATTTCGATTGTCGTCGTTTCAAGATAGTGCCATTTATTTAGTAACCCTGATATTAAAACGATTCGCGATACATTGATTATGATCAATGGATCTGCTGTTAATCATATGCCAGCACTACATCCTTCACCTTAAATATATTTAGTGAGTACAATCTTGGACCCTGCCTTTTGTCGTAACATCTCATAATTATAGCTAAATATGAAGACAGAGCGTTTTTATAAACATATAAAAAAGAAAAACACAACTGATGTGAAGCTCTACATTGCTCGACATCATGTCGACGCCAAGTTTGGTTCGATCCAGTCCTCTTTCGCCCATCCCGGAAGTTCGGTTTGGAATGACCAATCAGGTCCCTGCAAGAGAAGGCGATCAGCAATTTCAAAAGATCAGTGTTCAATAAGCCAAAGCTATATTCAAGTTATTGTCCCAAGAATCAAATAGTGGGAAAGTTCACATTTCCAATTTGAATTACGCGGCAGCCGTATACGCGAGGAAGTGGGGAGAGGTCTTAGTCGATGCGTTCGGTGTGTGGGTTAAATAGTCACAATGGAACGTTGGACCGGAGCGTAACGTGCTTTTGCTATCGAGGCGTACTTTAAGAGTGGTGATTCCTACGCAGCCCTTCGGAATCCCTAGGTCAACACTGCATGGCATAATGAAGAAAAAATGGGTTTTTGTCGTTATAATATCCAATCAGTCCACGCTTTAAAGGAAAGTAAAGACGTATTATTATTTTCCTACTCAGGGCAGACTCGAGAACTTTATTTCCGGTGACGAGGCCTATTTTTACTTAGCCTTTTATGTGAACAAGCAAAATTGCAGATACTGGGCACCGACGAACCCAAAAGAAAAACATCAACAACAGCTACACAGTCCAAAGGTGACTGTGACGCAATGAAAGGGATGTTATAGGAAAACATGGGGAAGAACACAGAACAATCACGGTACAAGGCTAATCGACTTCTATGTAGAAAATAATTTTATAGTATGAGCCTAAGGATATACATAAATTTACTAGAGAAGTTAAAAGCAGGAATGAAAAATCTATCATAGTATTGATTAACAGAACATTTAGTAAAGAAATACTAGATGTAAGAGTAAAAAGAGGACCGGAAATAGGCAGTGACCACTATTTGTTGGTAGCTGAAGTAAGACTGAAAAGGCAAGAGAAGTCAAACACAACAAATACAGACCGAGACTCAAGGTACACAAGAAAAATTAAAACATATAGGCTGCTGAACAAAGGAGTAGCAGTCAAATATCGAGAAGCAATCGACGCAGAACATAGACAGGTACAAGATGACTGGAGACAGCTGGATGTACATCATCTGTGGGACCTATTCAAGGATATCATTATATCAGCTGCTAAAAGTACACGTGGAGTGACGTTTATAAACAAAAGTAAAAGACAAACTAGCTGGTGGTATGAAAAGATCAAGAGACAAGTAACGATAAAGAAAGATAGATGAAAAACCTATTTGGGGAATAGAAGCACGAATAAAGACAAAAAAATGGTGATTGCAGCAAAAAAGTGGTCATGGGAGGAATTCGGGAATCAGATCAAGATAGTAAAGGCAATCAAAAACTCTTTCATCGGGTACTAAAAACCTAAGAAACCCTAGACAGTATAGCATGAAGCACATAACAAACAAAAATAATGAGCTAATTTCAGAGAGACAAAAAATTATCGAAAGATGGAAAGAACACATGCAGGAGCTACTGAACATAGTCAACAGTATCAACACTTTAAGTCTTATACACAGACAGAAAACTTTAGGAAGCAGAAAAGAGCATAGTAAAATAGATATTGAAGAAGTTAAAAAAAGTGTTAACATGCTGAAAAGGGGAAAACCAGCCAGGCATGATGGAATTACAGGGAAGATGCTACAAAATATGAATGCTGAATGTATGAAAATGTTCTCAACATTACTGAATAAGGCATGGGAAGAAAAGCAGGTACCTGATGACGAAAGATGACACCACAGACTGCAACAATTATAGGGCTATTACAATATCGAACATTCGAACAAGTGGCGTTGTTTGGGAAAGTCTGCACAAAAGAAACATAGATAGCCACCTAATAGATTGTATTCAAAGCGTGCATAAACAAAAGAGTTGACGTCCGAAAGGACTGAAGCAAGGAGGCGTGCTTAGCCCTACACTATCTATCATAGTCATGGACGATGTAATCAAGGCCCTAAAGAGGAAAATAAAAAAGTTCATGTAGGGTTCTATAAAATGAGAACTGTAAGTATAGCAGAGTGTGCCTTTGCGGATGATTTGGTAGCAACCCAAAATATTTTCAAGATAACCTTAACACTCGGAGCGAAGAGCTATTAAACAGAAATATGAATATTAACATTTCTACAGTATATTCAGATAAGAGATAGACCGGATGTAAACAAAAGGTTCGGGTGATTTTCACGCTAACGCCGCCGTCTCGACGTAAAACAGGAGCCCTCATTGGTCAATTCGCAATTAAATGCCTATGCCGAGCGGCAGAGCAGTCGTATCAAGGCAGGTTCAGACGTGTTACGTATGTCGTGTGCATCATTGCAATTTGATATTTCTTTGGACGTTTTCGTTTGTTATCTTATTAAGTTGTTGAGTTTGTCGTTGTTATTGTTATACCTTGTTATTGATTGTCCCAACAACGGCTTCAAGGAAAGTTGATGTTCAAAATTGGCTCCGCTCGAAAAATATCAACTTTGAAGAAGCAATGCTGAAAGTACAATTATTAAGAATTGTCAAGGATCACAAGGCGGAATATCAAAAATACGCCATTGACGAAATGGCAGCAAGTCAAAATAAAACTGTGCTCCGTTTACCTCCATACCATTGCGAGCTCAATCCCATTGAGCTCATATGGGTAGAGGTTAAAAATTATATAGCTAAGCACAATACAACTTTTAAATTTTGTGACCTCAAAGGACTTTTCAAAGAAGCACTAGAATTAATAACAGCGCAAAAATGGGAAAACTGTATTAAGCACGTGAAAGACAAAGTTGAAAAGAGAATGTGGGAACTGGACAATATTTTAGAGGAACAAGTCGAGCCATTCATTATTGACGTTGGTGCTTCAGGCAGTAGCGATGATGAAAGCTCATCAAGCTCATCTTTCCAATAAAAGATGTTCATCAAATTCGGTAAGTTATAAGTAATTATAAAGCTACTGTATTTTTTAATTAATTATTGACATTTTTGAACCCATTTTGGCAAAACCTATTCAAGAATCTACTTTCTGACAATGTTCAACCATGCACATTTTTTTACGTTTTGAACGTTTTAATTTGGTTACATATTTACCTAGAAATCAAAAAATATACTAATCAATATTCTAAAAGCAATTTTAAGAGATATACGATTATTTTTAATTTAGGCTAATTTAAACGCCATTTTGAGATTATATTCGACTGTATTTCACCAAACATGGCGGCATCCGAAGCTGGAAATCGAAGCGAAAATTTTGAAACCCTTATGTATATTTACATCATTATATATTTCTTACCCCACCCCCACATGATCCTATATCCATCACCAATCGTATACACATCGAATTGTGCTAATTTACTACAAAGTTACGCAAAGCAGCATCTACTATCTAAAATATGTACTGCGTGACTCTTAATACGTCCCTGCCGAATGTTACAGCGTTCGATGATCACGTGGTCTTGTTTATGTCCGGTCTATCTCTTATCTGAATATACTGTAAAACAAAAGTCCTCACTACTAGACCAGGGAAAGAACTTAAAATAATCTCGGAAGGTAGATATATAGATCAAGTACAGGCTTTCAAATACTTGGGAATACAAATAGAGGAAGACGAAACAATGGATGAAGAAATAAAAGAAAGATTACTGAAAGCATTATTATTATAATGGGTATTATAAACTATTGATCAAACTAATATAAATCCACCAAATTATGCTACCAATAAAAAGTTTCTAAGCATTGATCCAAATTTGGGCTGGAACATTGAAAACTAATTTTCTGACAAAAAAAGACAGCTGTTTTGTTAGCGTCTGATCAACATTTCTCTTACGCGTTGCTGGCTGTAAACCGAGTATCAGATTCAGTTTTTTGAACTACGAGCGATCTTACCGTGTAGGTCCACGCGTGCAAATACATAACCAGATCCTCGGGCTTCGGGTCCCTGTAGCGCACCTTGCACTCGTAACAGTGTTGGTCCACCGTCATCTTGTCCTGGTTGAAGGCCATATCTGGCGCCTCTTGACCCGTCTGCGTGGCCACTGTGACCTTGGCATCGTTCGAGGCCATCGGCGGCGGTGGGGAGGGGCTTACGGTTGCAAGCGGTGGAGGCGTAACTACAGGAGGCGTTGGGGTGCCCGCTGAGGATTCCTCCTGGCATGGGGATTGTTCGCGAGATGCCAGCGTCATGGCATCGTCGTCTTCCAGAACGTCGGCTGCGAACATTCAAACTTTTGTTACGCCTTATATTAGAATTGGAAAGTACGTTTTTTCATCCTTGGCACAATAGTGAAACCTTGTGTGAATATATCAAAATTCGAGCAGTACGCCCCAAGTTATCGAGCCAAGGACTAGCGGACAGAACGACAGAAATGAGTGTCGGTTTTTAGTGATATACATATCATATTAAATCTAAAAAACATATCTCATTTTCGCGATTCTACTTCCTGGTCCAGTGACGCAAGAGGTAAAAGTATAATGAAAACGTATACGTGAAATAAATAATAAAATAAGCTACTCACTTTTAGGCACAAGAGGTTCAACTAAAGTATCATCTATTTCTGATTTTCTAGCGTTGAATATGGCCATCTCACTATCACCGTCCATTCCAAGCCAGTTTTCGGCGTTGTGGATGTGAATCAGATCTCTCACTAGCTCCTCGTCTGTTTTGCCTCCTAAGTCTCCGTCTTTTCCTTTCTTTGGGCCGAACACTTCATGATTGTATAACGGGTCGTTCACTACTGGGTAACCTGAAAAGATGGAAAGATGCTAAGCTTATTTCATACGCAATAGCCAGAAATAAAAAAAAATGGTGGGCTAAATTGACTAGAAGCAACATGTACTTAGTAGTAGAAGTATTTATTTACCACGTTTGACTACATAAAGAGAATAACTATAAACAACTTGTGATGCCCAGGCTGGGCAAGCTATAATTGTAAATTTCTTAGTATTTCGTTAATTTTACTTTGAATTTTGTTAAAGTATTCTGGTCTTTTATCTCTGTATTTAATTTATCATAATGATGGTATATAGATTTGTAGCGTATGTAAAAGATGGTCGGCAGTTGATGATATTAATTTAGTTACACATGGTGAAAATATATTATTTTTTACTTTATCAATAAGTATCATTGCAAGATATTTGAAAAAAATGCATATTAAGCCATTTCAATTTGTCTAATTGGAGTATATGTATCATTATTCAGTATTGTTCTCATGGATTAGGTTTGTGAAATTTGTAGTCGTTCACCAGAAACACTGGGTTTGTTAAAAATTAAATTGTTAAAGACGGAACACATAGCTAACAACAAACCCAATGTGTCCGGTCATTTGGTTTCATAATGGTAACAAGTCTTCTCAACCACGCTTTCGTTTTAAAACACCATTTAGCTGCAACCTCACCGACGAGTAAGTAATTTAAAAATTTAAATCTGTTCTAAATTGGTTGCTACTTTCATAATTGTGTTTTAGCTCCTGAAGATGACAATATAGTTTGTCGAAAGCTCGAGATTACCGTCAAAAGAGTTCAGTACGCTTCACGTTTCCCAATAAACAATTTAATTGTACTTTTTGTCCAACTGGTTGTTGGCAATGGCAATGACTCATTAACTAATTTTGATATTTATATATACAGGGTGCACCATCTTTTATGTCGGTATGTAAACATGAAATAACTTTGAAAACGAAAAACTGATTTCTATATATCGGGTATTTTTATTAAATATGGCCGACCGACATAAAAGATGGTGCACCCGGTATCATTGCAAGATATTTGAAAAAAAATCATATTGAACCATTTCAATTTGTCAAGCATTTGTCTAATTGGAGTATATTTATCATTATTCAGTATTATTCCCATGGACTGGTTTTGTGAAATTTACAGTCTTTCACCGGACACATTCGGTTTGTTAGAAGTTGAATTGTTAAAGACGGAACTCATAGCTAACAACAAACCCAATGTGTCCGGTCTTTTGGTTTCATAATGGTAACAAGTCTTCTCAACCACGCTTTCGTTTTAAAACACCATTTAGCTGCAACCTCACCGACGAGTAAGTAATTTAAAAATTCAAATCTGTTCTAAATTGGTTGCTGCTTTCATAAATGTGTTTTAGCCCCTGAGGATGACAATATAATTTGTCGAAAGCTCGAGATTACCGTCAAAAGAGTTCAGTACGCTTTAAGTTTCCCAATAAACAATTTAATTGTACTTTTTGTCCAACTGGTTGTTGGCAATGGCAATGACTCTTAAACTAATTTTGATATTTATATATACAGGGTGCGCCATCTTTTATGGCGGTATGTAAACATGAAATAACTTTGAAAACGAAAAACTGATTTCTATATATCGGGTATTTTTTATTAAATATGGCCGACCGACATAAAAGACATGCACCCGGTATCATTGCAAGATATTTGAAAAAATCATATTGAGCCATTTCAATTTGTCAAGCATTTGTCTAATTGGAGTATATTTATCATTATTCAGTATTATTCTCACGGACCAGTTTTGTGAAATTCACAGTCTTTCACCGGACACATTCGGTTTGTTAGAAGTTGAATTGTTAAAGACGGAACACATAGCTAACAACAAACCCAATGTGTCCGGTCTTTTGGTTTCATAATGGTAACAAGTCTTTTCATCCACGCTTCCGTTTTAAAACACCATTTAGCTGCAACCTCACTGAAGAGTAAGTAATTTAAAATTTTAAGTCTGTTCTAAATTGGTTGCTATTTTCATAATTGTGTTTTAGCTCCTGAAGATGACAACATAGTTTGTCGAAAGCTCGAGATTACCGTCAAAAGAGTTTACTACGCTTTGAGTTTTGGCAATTCCCAATAAAAATTTAATTGTTTTTTTTTTGCCCATCTGGTCGTTGGCAACGGTAATGACTAACTAACCAATTTTGATATTTTTTTATATATATACAGGTATATCAAAATTTAATTAAGAGTCAACAAAAGTTTTCTATAAATTCAATATCTTCACCATCAAAACCTAGTTGAACATTTGTACGTTGTTTTTTAAGTGCTAACCATTTTGAAACGAGTGTCAAGGCTTCTTTTATACATATAAGAGATACGAGTCTCAGAGGAACGTAAAAACACATCAAGTTGATATTGATAAAACAGACTTACCTAAATACTGCAGGTGTACGCGGATCTGGTGCATCCTTCCAGTCTTCGGTTTGCAGAGAACGACGCTAGTTTTCCCATTATAGCTGAGTTTTTGGAAGAGCGTAACACAGTCTTTGCCTTTCGGTGACACTTTACAAACTCCTATTTTGTAGCTAACTACCTCTATTGGCTCTATGCATTCCACTGTGCCCCTGCAAACAGAAACACATTGCTTTTGTAAGGATCCAAAGTGGTTTCACCAAGGCTGCTTGAGAAACCTTTTGTAATTTCCTTTTTTTGGCCGATTATACATTGTCAGGTAGGGAATTGAGCAAATGCTCCTTCAAAAAAAAAACATTCATCTGAGAAACGAACATGTACAGGGTGGCCAACCAAGAATCCGACAAAAACAGTTATTACTGAAACGACCCAGAGAAAAACCTGGAAAATATGTTCAAGTTTCTGAAATTGTCGCTAGGGGGCGTAACTGCAGTCGAGGATAGTGTGAACTTTTTTGTTTGACAATATTTGCTGTATCTCTAAAAATAGTGGTGTGCATTCACACGAACGTCACTTTTTTAGATTCAAGTTAGCAGTTACGCCCTCTATCGGTCATTTCAGACACTTGAAAATATTTTCCAGATCTTTCTCTTGTTTGCAAGTCTCTATTGATGGATAGATTTTCAGAAACAGTACATCGCATTCTTCGTTGGCCACCCTGTACATAATGGAGAGTTATCGGGCGGGACTTAACGCTTACCGCTTGACAAGCCTCAGCTTTCTGATGTAGCGGTTAATAATTAAAAAGAGCTTTAATCAACTTACGGCACTGTAGCTTTTTACTCGCGGTTTCGTACAGGCAGATTTCGGTTTTATCGCAAAATTAGCATTAAGGTTCCTTGGTATTTGCACCCAGAAGGGAAGACGCGACATCTGCTTGCTTTTTGAGGTATTAAGTGCTTAAGTAAATTAGTACCAATTTCCAAATTTCTAATTTAATTTTGTTTTTATTAACACGCTTTTATTAGCTTGGCCTGCAATAAAGAAGGAATTTAATACGATCAAAGAATTTGTAATTATAAAGACTCGGATCGTTCGTTTTTGTAAAATAGGTAGTTTCGGCATACTAACGACTACTTACTCAGGAAATTCTCCCTCTACTCGACACACGTACGTCTTGGAGACCAATCTGTTTCTGATTTGATGCTCCATTTGCCTGGCTTTCTTCGGGGATCTCCCGAAAAGCAACAGGCCGCTCGTCAGCCGGTCCAACCTGTGTATTGTCCTGAGGTTCTTCAAGTTGTACTCCTTGGCCAAGATGAACACCACCGTGTTGTGTCTATATCGGCCACAAGGGTGAACCTTAAATCAGACACTTATGAATACTGTATCGCTCACTCAATATACCGTGTTTAAGAAGAGTAACGAAACGAAATGGCTTTTTATTAGAGATTCACGAGTTGAACTAATTTTCATGCTACTTGACTTTGAATTAAGTCATGCTCAAGTAAAGTATGAGATATTGTCAATCTAATATCACGTCAAGCAGTTTGTACGTCTATCCAAGTATTCAGTTGATAATTATTCTAATATAAACTCAAGTAGATTATGAATAGACAACGGGAAGACTATGTCACAAGTTACCAAGAATATTGAACAAAATAATTTGTATATTTAATAGAATATACAGGGTGGCGCATCGAAAACGAAACAGACACATTTACTGGCAGCTCAGTTTTTTTCTTGAAAAACGCTCAGACCCGTCATGTATTTTACATCATTATAAAGGGAATTGGAAGACCTTCAAAATAAGGTATCACTCGACCCCCCTTTGCATTGAAGATTTTAGGGTTGGTGTCACCCCCGCCCAGGGGGCTGCACGTGTTAACGTGATTTTTTGCCAAACTTGCGTCTCCCTCGAAAACAAAATCGACGGGTCTGAGCGTTTTTCCAAAAAAAAAAATGAGCTGCCAGTAAATGCGTCTGTTTCGTTTTCGATGCGCCACCCTGTATAATAGAACTATAAAACTGTAAACTCAAACATTCTTTTTTTGGCTTGAAGTATCGACATAAAATTATTTTTTGAGTTTGATTTTAATTTCTTTTTGGGCTCCGGTTTATCCATAAAATCTGCACAGACACGACACATTTATTGAATAAACAAATGCTTCTTTCAACTGAGCATCGCGTGACGGAGGTTTACACGAAACGTTCCGCTGCCATGCAGGATAAATCGTAAATTCATTCTGGTTATATATGTAAATATCTTCCATAAACGAACCCGATATTGTCTCCAGATAATTTGTCGTATACATTAGCGAAAAAATATAAGGTTGTCTATATAAACTTTGGAGTGATGTCTGGAATTTCATTAAGGATGTTAACCGTATTGATCCAACATTTGAGCGAAGCATGGAACTAACGGAACAGTATCTGCAGAACATTCATGAAGGGATTTACGACTTCCTATTTCCAAAATGCGCGTGATGTATCATTTAATATTCGGTTTATACAATCAAATAGAATCGGGAATAAATTGACAGAAAAATTGGTGAACTTCTTCAAGGTATACGAAACAAATGGCTAATTCCAAGCCGTATCTAGGAAATTGTGTTCCGTCCTCGTCGAAGTAAATATTTAGAATACATATCGTAGTACCCTCGTAGTAGTACTCAACCGCCACGATTTTAAAGCGCTCACGGAGAGAAGGAAAGCGGCACCGCGCCCATTCCCTCTACATTTCTGCCCTCTTTCCGCCTATAAACCTTCATTATCATGGTGCCTCGGCTCCCAGATGGATGAAGTCGGTTTTAGCAGAGAGTGTCACAATTGACAACCCACAGCACATGAAATGCGCCTACCTCTCCGCCTCAGGCTCGCGGCGGGTTGGATTGCGTTTTCTGAAATACGTCACAAATCTCTTGTGCCAAACAACAGCTTTGCTCAAGCGGCATTTGAGGTGAACCACGTCTCCACAACTTAAACATAACTATGTTATTACGTTATATGCTCATTACCATGAAACTGATGGTAATTATTGAACCAGGTACGTCATATTACCTGTTGCTAAAAGCCTTAACTTGAGTTGTTAAGTGGAGGTGTACATTTGGTTGACACATGCATTGCGTACAATTTGTGAAGTTGTTCGTTTACTATTGCAGAGCGTTAGTAGTATGTTGTTGCAACTAGCTTTGAACATTGTATTCTAAATATTTACTTCGACGAGGACGGAACATAATTACGTGATGAAACGAACTTACCTGTAAGTGATGTTCGATCTTAATTATGTGAAGTCCTCGTCGAAGTAAATAGCTCCCGCTCTCCCTATGTATCACCCAATTGTTGCAACAACTTGGCTTTGAAGTAAATGAAGGTTTATAGACGGCCTTCTCTGCGCGCGCGCTTTGAAATCGTGGCGGTTGGGTACTACTACGAGGGTACTACGATATGTATTCTAAATATTTACTTCGACGAGCACTTCACATAATTACTTGATCAAACGAACTTACCTGTAAGTGAGGTTCGATCATAATTATGTGAAGTCTTCATCGAAGTAAATAGCTCCCTCGCTGCCTATGTATCATCCAATTGTTACAACAACTTGGCTTTGAAGTAAATGAAGGTTTATAGACGGGCTTCTCTGCGTGCGCGCTTTGAAATCGTGGCGGTTGGGTACTACTACGAGGGTACTACGATATGTATTATGAATATTAACTTCGACGAGGACTCCACATAATTACTTGATCAAACGAACTTACCTGTAAGTGAGGTTCGATCTTAATTATGTGAAGTCCTCGTCGCAGTAAATAGCTCCCTCGCTGCCTATGTATCATGCAATTGTTACAACAACTTGGCTTTGAAGTAAATGAAGGTTTATAGACGGCCTTCTCGGCGTGCGCGCTTTGAAATCGTGGCGGTTGGGTACTAATACGAGGTTACTACGATATGTATTCTAAATATTTACTTCAACGAGGACTTCACACAATTACTTGATCAAACGAACGTACCTGTAAGTAAGGTTCGATCTTAATTATGTGAAGTCCTCGTCGAAGTAAATAGCTCCCTCTGTCCCTATGTATCACCCAATTGTTGCAACAACTTGGCTTTGAAGTAAATGAAGGTTTATAGACGGCCTTCTCTGCGTGCGCGCTTTGAAATCGTGGCGGTTGGGTACTACTACGAGGGTACTACGATATGTATTATAAATATTTACTTCGACGACGACTTCACATAACTACTTGATCAAACGAACGTACCTGTAAGTGAGGTTCGATCTTAATTATGAGAAGTCCTCGTCGAAGTAAATAGCTCCCTCTGTCCCTATGTATCACCCAATTGTTGCAACAAGTTGGCTTTGAAGTAAATGAAGGTTTATAGACGGCCTTCTCTGCGCGCGCGCTTTGATATCGTGGCGGTTGGGTACTACTACGAGGGTACTACGATATGTATTATAAATATTTAATTCGACGAGGACTTCACATAATTACTTGATCAAACGAACTTACCTGTAAGTGAGGTTCGATCTTAATTATGAGAAGTCCTCGTCGCAGTAAATAGCTCCCTCACAGCCTATGTTGCAACAACTTGGCTTTGAAGTAAATGAAGGTTTATAGACGGCCTTCTCTGCGTGCGCGCTTTGAAATCGTGGCGGTTGGGTACTACTACGAGGGTATTACGATATGTATTATAAATATTTACTTCGACGAGGATTTCACATAATTAACATCGAACATCGCATCAGGTAAGTTCGTTGGATCATGTAATTCTGTTTTGTTGAAATAACTAAGGTTTGGCAATGTCAATGTACGACATATTATACATTTTTGGAGTCAGAATCAAGAGCTTTATTGCCGTATCGTGAAGGGAAAAAATGCCAAATGATAAGTCGGATTTTTTTTTTTGAGAAATTCCCGGAAGTACTCTGCATTGCGAAACTTTTTAAGTGGCATTTTGTGAGTTACCTAAACGTGCAACTTTGTATCTCTTACAGTTTCCGAGGTTCGAATGGTGATCGTCGAATCTGAAACACCCGGTACGTATGCGTTTTTGTTAGCGGGGATTTCTAACATTGCGTTCAGATAAGCTTAACGCCTTGTATAGAATTAACAAGCATTTTTATTTTATGTATTCAGTGCTGGCGTGCCTGATAAATACATTGAGAATTTAAACGTCACACTGTTGCAAGGGATATAAATAGCAACGGGGGAAATAAAGAAAAATTTCAGCTACCATGGGACTTGAATCCGGGACTAACGCAGGGAAACTCCTTACCTGGCTTGACAGCTTAGGTGATTGAAAGTGGTATTTAATTTCAATTTCACTCAGCGTCCTTTTAGTACAGTCAGTTCTTACTGTCCTTGGATCAACGCAAATATAAAGACAAGGCATAGGCGAAACTACATACAGGATGCACCCCATTTGTGACTCTCCTGGTATATTTTATCTATGGCGAATATTAGACACAGATCCAGTTTCTTCAAATTTTCTTATCAACTTACCCACATACTTATCGTTAGTACAAGGTGGTCCCCGGGAGCGGGAAGTTTTAAATACAGGGTTATCCAAATTAAGTGTCCACCATTAGTAACTTCGTTATTAGTGAAAATACAAAGTGTTTGAATTAGCAAACTAGTAGCATTTTTAACGCTGGTAAAAATGAGAAATAAAAAAACAATTGAGAGTCGTTATTTTGATTTTTTTCAGTAAAATAACATTTTTTTAAATGGAAACCCCTGTATATTATATTTTTTTCTGTTAAAGCATCAATAAACAAAAAAATTATTTGCAGTATTATAATATTAAGACGGCTATGAAAACAACATGGCGTTCGCGATTTGACAGCATTAAGATAAGCGACAAATTGTTAAACTGGACATACTCGCAACTAGAAGGCTTTGGAAAACAATGATAAAATCAAATAATGTCAAACATTAGTGTAAATACTTGTTTATAAGCTTTATTGTGTCATTAATTTAAAGAAAAATGTTCTCCCATGAAGAAAAGTGTGATATGTTAGAATGCTATTTAGTGTGCAGAAAATCCTCCTTGAGAGCAAGAAAATACTACAGTGAATTATATCCCGCTCGCATTCAACCGTATGAACGATATTTTCTGAGACTGTATCGAAAATTTAGGGGCAACGAAAATGTTTTTGCTAAAACAAGGGCAAAAAAAGATTTCATAATAAGCGAGGCCACGGAAATTGCAGTTATTGGATATTTTGAAGCTTATCATGAGAATTCAATAGCAGATATTCTCAAGGACTCTAATTTCAGTTATGGTACTGTTCAAAGGATTTTAAAAAAATACAAATTTATTCCGTATAAGTACCGACCAGTTCAAACGCTTTTGGCAGGGGATCC